AATCACATCATACTATAAGGGCCATCCCTTAATTCAAAAATAGAGCAAGCTCGATAATCAATAAAATAAATGCGAAGTCTTTAATTAAAATCATGATATATAAATAAACTGAGTAGTGTCGATAAAATAAAGGATTTATATCATTTAATTCAAAAGAAAATATTTATTGAAAATAAAAATGAAGGGAAAACAAATACTTCCTTGTTTTCAGATTCAAATACACACAAATAACTACAGCTTCATCTGTGCCAACCCTAGATCATTAAAATAGCTCCTTCACATCAAACAGAAATGATCCCAACCCAAACTAACATCAATTTTTTATTGGATTTCAATTCTCAGTTCAAATTTACCGCTCTATAGTGAAAATATCAATTTCTTTGTGATTATTTTAATTCGATGGTTCGATTTGCTATGATCCAACCTTAAATTTGAAAGTTTCAAGGGCTCATTTGTTAGCATGATGTTAGACAATGGGTCATGAAAGATAGTGAAGTTTGTTAATAATTCAACATTTAGTTAGATATAGTAAGAAGAAATCAGCAGCAATATTACAAACTCGACAAACATGCCCAAAACTCCTACATATACAATATTATTTTAATATTTTTAATTGGTCTTATATATAAATATATATAGGCCTTAAAGCGGCTTAATGAAAATAAAAGATGAATTTTGATACTTAAAAAATGAAGAAGCATACCAAAAAAAAATGTTATTAAACAAATGGGCAGAGCTAAAATAGATTCAACAAATACCTTTGATTAACTTTTCATTCAAGGGTCCTCATCAGGAAAGTCAAATAATATTGATGTTTTGAGAATTGATAATTCAAATTTTTTTTTGAGACTAAACAATGAGAACTTTTGAAAAGATAATGCTCAAAATATTCTTGAACGCTATAAAAGAAAACAAGAAAAGATTTGTTGTTCTTCCTTGCTATCTAATTAGATTATAATGACAAATACTAATATTTTAATGTATTTGGGTTGATGGAAAATCCTTTAGTTGACTATGCTTACTTTAGATTTGTTATTTACTTTGATGTTGAATTTAAAAGCATGATTTATCATTAAAATTATTATTGGGTGGCAATCACCACGAATAAACTAACCTTTTTGGTGTTGCATGCAATACTATATGCTAAGGCTATTAAGCCTTTTTTTTATTTGTTTCAAACCTTTAATTGTGATTACATTGCCCATGATAAAATTACATCAATAGAAAAGCATATCAATATGTTCTTCCAAACATAGCTCATATTCTTTGCCTTACACATATTTTAAATTTATTTTCAACCTCTTGTACGCGATACCTTTGCCAATGATTTTGGAAATTTTTATAGAGAAATATTATGTAGCAAAGTTTGAATAATGGTTGCATGATCTATAAAAACTCAAGAAAAAAGACTTCAATTTACCTCTTCAGCATTTTGTGCAAATTTGGCAACAACAAAATTCAATGAAAGTATGAATAACCATTTTAAAAAATTCTTTGGAAGGAAAATGTCTTTTTTATGACTCCATAAAAAATATAATCGAAATTGATCGATTTCATGAGTTCTTTGAATACCACATCTAAAAATACTACTTCTATTTTTTTTATACCCCACATGAATATGTTGGAAGTTGTTACTAAGTCATATACAAGAAAACTGTATATTCATTTTGAGAAGGAATGCATGATTCAAATATCTTGTAAATGTAATTTGATAAGTTCTGAGTGAGGAAATTAACTGTGAAAAGTATCTTCTCCAGAAGCTTATAAAGTAACTTTTGTACAATCCAATATGTGAAGCTTAACACTTTCAAGTTATTGTACAATGATTGACCACATAGGCAACTTATGCATGCATCATAAGAAGGTTTTGAATCATAACAGTATCATAGAATTACTTGAGAAATATATAATGAAAAGAAGGAATAAATATGCAAAGGATGCTACGTTTATAATACCTCTCAGTTTGATTGTGATGAACTTTTATCATTGCAATTAACCGGAGAATCTCAAAATATAATGGCAATTGCAGTGGCATGTTTATTTTTCTAAAGCTATGTTTTCTGTCTTAGGAAAAGGGTAGAAAATATTGACTTTACATTTTGATAAAAATGTTGCTTAAAAATTATAAATTGCCCTTCAAGAAGTGGGGAAAAAGAAAATTTGGTTGAAGCTTCCTATGACTTCCCTTTATAATCCCTGCATCCCACATATTTGAAGAATAATCTCTTGAGAAGAGTAAACAGACAATTCATAAAATTGGGAAGAATTAAGAAAGGCATCAACTTTATCACTCTACGTGTGAATGGGCTTCGCCAGAAAAGCGGGATGCGGCAGTGGGTTTTGCCGGGAGAGCGGGTCGCGGCAGCGGGCTTCGATCATCGCAACAGCGGAAGAGGGCTTCGCCGCGAAAGCGAGTCGCGGCACTGGGCTTTGCCATGAGAGCAGGTCGCGGCAACGGGCTTCGCCGCGAAAGCGGGTGATGCAGCTCAGGATAACCCGACACACTGGCGGCACAACATACTCAGCTCAAACAGCCTACATTACTTCCACTACTTTATTTTCTATTTCTGTTTGTAACTACTTTTGCAGTCTTTTTACTTTTACAAAAATAGTATACATAAATTATAGATAGGCGTACAAGGAAAAGGGGAGGATCAGTTGTCTTCTTTACACAAAGTAATACTAGAAACCAGAATACAGAGGTATTCTTCTACCTATATTCCCTGTTTTTGGCTTGCTGTCACTTGTATTTTCTCTTCCAGGTAAAGACGATCGATCCTGCAAAAGGACTTCAGTTGGTCGCGGGTCGTGGCAGTGGGCTTCGCCGCGAGAGCAAGAGGGGGCTTTGCCGTGAGAGTAATTAATTAGATCATTAGCATTGCAAAAATAATTAAATAATTGTGTGATAATTTAATATTTAATAATTATTATTAGATAATAAATAGTTAATTAACTGATTAATTTGGTAATAAAATCATTTTTAAATATTTAAATATTTTAAATAATAATTAATAAAATACCACAACAACTATGGATCAAAATCTCTTTTTATCATTCCATTCACAAAAGTCATTCCTCTATCCCTCTTTATCTCTCTCAATATTTTATGCCATAAGTCTTTCTCTCTCTATACCAGAAGCATTGCATTGGCCGGGTGAAGTTGGATTGAAGACTTAATAAAATGGAAAAACCGGTAATGATAAAATGAAAGCTACAGCATACTAGGTTAATGCCATTTTTTTTTTTTTTGGGGGGGCCCCCTCCCTCCGCCGATGCTACCCCTTCCCTTGCCCCCCTCACGTATTTTTATGAGGTTATGATATTATTTTTTTTATTTTATTACAAAGCTTTTAAATACTTTAATAATAATTATCAAAGACGGTAATTATTTTTACAGTTTATACCAATTATATATAATATATATATATACTATATATAATATATTCTCTTTAAAATATTTTTGATATTTCTAGGTAAAATTATAAAACTTATCTGACTGTTTTTCAAAACAGGTGGTCACAATGACTACTTCAATGTAATTATTATTTATCTCATTCTTGCTTAAATTAAGAGTTGAGCGATTAGAATTTGTAGCAAAATAATTATGTGAATCTTACATCACAGATGTATTTATTTTGTGTATTATTAGGGTATTTCAATTATAAACTCTTTTTATATTTATATTAGTTAAAAATGCAAACTAATCAATTGCATTCTGTTAACATCCACTAATTATATCTATTCTTTGAGATAATTTCATTTCTTTTGAATAATATAACTGAATTAAATAAATCCATGGCGCCTTTCTCCTCTTCAATTACCAAGCTCGATCTTCGAAGAATAGATCGAGAAGATTTTAGAGAGCTCGAAGGGAAGAAAGAAAAAACATCAAAGCAGAAGCTAACAGAAGAAGTTCTAGTTGCATCACGACACGTATTTCCACTTAGCTTGGGGATTCGATTTCCGGATTTAAAAACCAGACACGTGATGCCCACACAATTTGTATAATTCCTCGCTACAATACGCTCTTCCGTACGTACAGGTATTCTTTCCAATGTTTTCTTATAAGCGAGCAAAAAGTTTCAGTTAGACGAGCGAGAACTCGAGACGGACCCGAAAACAATTTGTACATATTTAATTCTTAAAAAAAACTCCGTTCAATAGAAGTCTCTAGAGCAGAATCGCTAGCCTAAAATAAGAAACAAGAGTGAACATTTAAAATAAAAAAGAAATGCAAAAAAGCACACCAAAATAGGCAACAGACAAGCCGAAAAGCTGAGTTAGTCTCATAAATTATACTTATTCCCACCGGGGGGGTGTCTGGGGTGGAGGACTATTGCTGGCCAAATAGGTCAGATCATACCGATTCGAGAATTCTCCTCGGTGCTTCGTGCAACCTTAAGCTGTTGGCCACAGTTGTGTAAATTGTGTGGGTTGTATGCTAGGTCAAAGCCTGGATTAATCCCCCGTAACCAGGATTGATCTTGATTTTTTTTTTTTATTATATTAATTATACTTATCGTACCATCCCAGTTTCAGAGTTTGTTCAGATAAGCGCATTTTTTGTCTAATATTGAAGAAAATGCAATCATCGCATGCAGCAATAAATTCGAAGGAAGCGACCAATTGCTTATCAAATACAATAACTCCAAAAACTTTTAAAGCCCGAATCGATTCCATATGAAATGATCCTTCTCTG